TCCCGGTGAGATTTTGGCCACCATGAATTTTGCGTCCCAGTGAGAATCTTGCCGGGATCCCACTGGGAATAAAAATCCTGGTGGCCAAAATCTCGCTGGGATCTTGGCGGGATTCCCACCAAGATCGTGGCGGGATCCCACCAAGGTCCTGGTCCTTATTTTACAAGGGAAAGGGCAACTGGATTTCAGAATTTTTTCCTGCTCTGACAATCATTCAAATTCAAACAGTCATCAAATAAGCGAAGAATCGCTCAGACAAGTCAAGAGTGTTTTAAATTTCTCTCTGAGTGACCCCAGGGGCTTGGGAGGTACTTTTTTGTATACTCTATAGAGCCTTTGTCCAAAATGGGAACCTTTATCCAGCTACTGTAGAGGCAAAGGTATAACAAACATGGGAGATTTCACAATAAATGTACTGAAGGTAAGGAAAACTGGCATTAAGGCATTTAAATGGGCCATTCAAAATATCTCAAACAAATGCACCTAATAGCTGAGTCAAAAAAAAAATTAGACAATTGATAAATTATGACAGGGTTGCTCTAGTGGACAATTTGGGGAAAAGATGCAGTAATTTTACTGTAAGTATAGGTGGCACTACCATTTTCTACGCAATAAGTTAAATCTTTCCTGTCAAAAATGTATTAAAGGGTAACGGTTTTGAACGTAGGATAGAGTCTCTCTATATAAAAACTCTTTGAGTACCCCCCTCCCACCCCCCTAAATTAACCTTTGACATCCTGTTCCAACTTTTTTACCTGTCCATTGTTTTTTTAGTTTTCTTTTTCTTTTTCACATGAGAACAAAGTTAGTTTTCTACCTCAATTAAGAGACACGAACTTCTTACAATAGCAGGGGTAGACATACCTGACGGCCTGGCAGACATTTTCCAAATGCTTGCAGCAGGAGGTTTTCTTTTGTGACAGCAGTGGTGTAATCCAATGGCGAAAGCTTTCCGTCATGATCAAAGTCCTGAATCAGAATAAACTAAATTATATGAGAATATGTAACTTGTTTCACACAAAAGTATTCATTGCCCATATTAAGCAATGCTTGCATTGAGCAGGGTAATATACCAGTATAAAGTGAAACTAAATATAAATAATTATAAATTATTTATGAGCTTTTTGTTGGGGCAAACAAAACTGTTCAAAATAAGCAAGTGCCCTAGTGCAGGTTTCATTTTACAAGTCTAACAATAATTTAACCAAATGATATATAGACTAAAAATTCACCATTTTCTTTATGACTATCTCAACAAGTTCTTTCACATTTTCCTCTGCATCTTCTTCTGTGGATGACTATGGGGAAAGAACAAACAGATCCCATCTTAGTCACACTTACATATATTGATGCTGTAAATTACCTCACTCACAAAATCCTAATCACCCATTGCAATTGCAGATAGTATTAGGTCTATTAGAGCTATGGCTGTACTGCAAAATATTGTAAGTTTTAAAATGGCATTAATGATCCTCTTTCGAGGCTTGGTCTGAGCTTCCACTAACGATACTACATTTAGGAAATAACACACTGGCTGTGGGTAAAATTTGGNCTAAATTCTTCAATAATATAAGAGGCTTGGCAATTCTCCAGTTACCATTTTCTTTTAGTTTGATCACTAATGAAATCAAATGATAACCATACTTTAATTATTTCTAGTCGAAGCTGCCCTTTAAGCTCTTAACATGTTCCATGTACAAGCTATAAATAGCATCTGATAGATAAGCAATTAATATTAACTTACCTTGACCATGCAGTCTTTTAGCATGTGATGGATTTCTTCCCTTAGTATATAACCATTACCATTGAGGTCATAAACGTTAAAGCAAACTAAACGAAGGAAAAATAACAAATTAAAGATTGTCAGACTAGAGTTAGTAAACCCTTGTCCGGGAAAAAAATATCATCTTAAACCACTGTTCAAAGATAATTGCCTAACTGGTGTTGGTGAAACACTATCAGTCGGTCAGTCAGTCTGTCTGTCAGTCTGTCTGTCTGTCTATCTGTCTGTCAGTCTGTCTGTCAGTCTGCATGCCCATCTGTTTGTTTGTCTGTCAGTACATGTATGTTTGTAT